GATGGCCGGGGGAGGGAAGGCGAACTTCACTTTGTTCAGCATGTTCTGTGGCGCGATCTGCGGATACGCCTCGGATGGGAGATCTTTGAATTTGTCGTGGTTATCTGGGGGGAATAGCAACGCCTGATCGGGCAGGGGGAAGGGGGCTATTAACTGCTCAGTCGTTACAAAGGTATGACTGTTCATGTGTGCTTCTTTGAACGGCAAGGGTGGTGGGCTGCTAAACACGCCAGGGTTACACTGCACCCACTCACCCGCCGCCTCATTTATTTTCTCCTGCGGCAGAGACTCGGCCAACTCGTAATGGCAAAGATAGGATTTAGGGGAAGCTCGTCCCAAATGTCTGCTGGCGGGGGGAGCTTTGCAACGAGGTGGATTTTCGTGACCGCTGACGTTTTGTTGTTTCTTTTCCTGCTGCGGAACGCCCTGCATGCCGTCAGCTGCCGGAGCGCTGTTCTCAAGCACAGAGGCGGCAGAACCCGTGTCAGAAAGCGTGCTCGGAGCACCCTCCATCACTCTGCACGCTGCCAGTTGGTCGCTTTCCGGCACGTGTGCACTATCAGTTTCTAGCGATGACTTGCCTTCCTCCTCCAGCTGCATCGTTTCAGCCGTATCTTTCCCATTATCCACCGTGGGATCCACATGAGCTTCCTCTAGATTGTCTTCAGTCAAGAAGTCCCCCAAAATACTTAACGTAGAACTTGCAGAATTTTCTTTGGAAAGTCTGGAGGTCTCACTTCTCGCATTCCTGTCAACAAACCCACGAGGGATTCTGGTTTTCCTTCTCCTGCGTTTCCCTTTTGCCTTGTGATGCGGACTTGCTTGCCTCAGACATTCCTCTGCTGAAGAGGTCTGCCCGTATGAGCTTTCATCTGACGAAGAGGAATAGGTATGCTGTCTCCGCTTCCGGCGGGATTTTTCAGGTTCCTCTGTCAGAACACTGTAACCTCTCTTTATGGATTGGTTTTGACTCGGACTCTTCTCCTCGCTGCAGTGTCCTAAACACTTATGCTCTGGGCTACAGCTTGACCTCCGGACTTTCCAGCTACAACATGTTTTAGAGTACCTTAAGCTGTGCCTCCTGGAACTCGACGCCAGCCGCTTTGCCTGTCTCCGGGAGCTTCCTTTGCTCTTCCTGTGCAGTCGTTTACAACCATGGCGTAGGACGCTGGTTTTTGCACTCCAGACGTCACACCAGCCTCTGTCCCCGTGTAGATGATCTGGCACAGACATGACTCTCCTGTGACCATTTTCCACGCAAAGTTTTTGATGCGACTGTTGTATCGCACCCGTAGCTAGCCAGATATTCCCCGCATCGTGTCTGCACTTCTCTGGGTTATTCTGGAGGTGCTGATATTTAGTTTCATCTCTGTAACTGATTTCTTTTTCAGTCAGCGAGGACATGTCCATTTCCACCACGTGATGATGATGATGACAGTGACATAATTTTCTTCTCCTTTTCCGTTTTTTACTTCTGTGAAGCCATTTTTCATGGCTTTCTTTGATCCAGACTTTGTTATATTTCTCAGCTATCACAGTGTTTTGTCGCAAGTGATTGTTAGAAATGTAATACTTTTCTATTTTTCTAATCCCGAATGACTCATCCAAGGACACTTTATTTTGATTTTTTGCAAGATCAGAATTTCTTGTGAGGGAATCATCTCTTATAAGGGGTACGGTATAGCTGCACACATTCTTGTTCATTTCTGTTTCATAATCACCACACTCTGAAATAGGTTTATTTGTAAAATCTGAGACTAAGCTATGGTTGGATTCTGTTTTATGGTGCAAATGAAGTATTTTTGGCTGATGCTTGGGCTTTTCTTGGCTGTCACTTGCTCTTGATAACTTGAAATCAAAATATAAAGGGTTACAGCTATAAGAAATCGATGGGTCAGTACTTGTGTAGATTAACATTTCCGATGGCCACTGAAGAATATTTGATCCATGTTTGCTCAGAACAGGAACAAAGGGTTCACAAGGTCTCTTGCGCATGTCCGGTTTGCTTTGTGGGGCTCCACAACTACCTTCTTCAGACGGTGATGGAACTAATGCATCTACCCCCAGCTTTTTTATTTCGGTTTCAGTTGTGGATGAATCACTGCTCCTGTCTTTCTGATTTTCCTCCGCAACATCCTGCAGAGATAAACAATCCTCCCCAACCCCCTGTGCGAGAGCGCTGGTTGCCTGCAGCTCGTCACCACTGCAGTCCAGGGGCAGGACCTGAGCACCATCTGCAACCCTGGGCAATGTTGGGTCCGGTAAGCCTGCTGCAGTTGGATCAACACCATAGCCATCCATGTCCGAGGAGACCAGTTGCTTTGAGTGGGACACAGCAGGAGTTAATACCGGACTCTCTAGCACCCTGCTTTCTTCACTGGCCAGCTCTTTCAACTCGAGAGCTTCAGAAGCTTCTGCTGCGTCTATGCATTTTTCCACCAGTGGGTGAAAACAGTTATGTTTCTCCTCGGGGCTAAGGACTATTTCTGCCGCTGAGGGAGACTGAAGGTTACATCCTCCTGGAACAAACCTACTTCTTCTGCTGAGTCCGTGCTCCATAGATGTTTCATCATTATATTCATAGAAAACGGCAGCTGAAGACTCCAGTTTGACCGCTGCTTTCTTAGGAAAAGCGAAAGAGAACCCAACTCTATGTCCTTGGGCTCCTTGAACCTGATCTCCAAATTTGTTAGGGTCGGACTTATTACTACATGCATTTCCAGGAGAGGAAGAAATAACAGAAGCAACATCTTGACAATTCTGCGCATCTGGCATTAACGTACAGCTGACATCTTGTCTGTCGGCAGAATCTACGGCAGCACTTGGGGGGATATCGTTGCCATGATCTCGCACAGTCACGGTAGTGGATTTGAACATAGGGCCACTTCCGGGAGCGCTAGGAAGGAAAGCAAAACTCAGTACCTTTCAGAGAACTGCACACAGAAATATGGTGGCACATTAGTATTTCAGAGATGTTTTTAAGGAAAGAGGAAGAATCTGCAGGTACGTAGATTTAGAAAATGAAAATTGCCGTATTTTATAAGAAGATCAGTTGACTAGTTAAAAAAAAAAAAGAAAAAAGAGAGAGTAAATATTGTGCCCAGAGTTCCTTCATGTGAAGTTATCTGCTGAAGGGCTAATATTCCTACAAGGCAGTTCACTTCTCCCAGGCATACCAGCTGGCCTAATAAGAGACTGTATATTTCTCTAGAAATCTTGCTTCTCCTCCCAGTAGACCATCAGGGTTACAACACTATTATTGCAAACAGCAGAGGTTTTACATCCCTTTGTGCCACAAAATGTATTAAACCCGAGCTTGCCTCACAGACCACTTCCCTTTTAGTCAACATCCCAGTGGCTGCTGCTCTGCCCCGGGGCAATCACCCTGCAGCTCCCATCCTATTTGTGTTCACAGACTAAACTGTAGCAATCTCAGCAATTTCCTTCATGGAAAAATAATATTGGGGAAAAATAAAATTGGTGTTTCAGCTGACAGTAGCGCAGTAAGTGATTCATCCCTCTTGAGAAAAAATTTATCACTGTCTACTTCTGTTCTTCATTTCACGTCCTCTTCCCATCTGTTCTATTTGACTTAATAGGAAGCAAAGAAGAGAGCAAAAACTGTTTAGGCTGCCAATTTTCCAGGATCCCCAGGAACTTCTCGGCACTAAGAGTAATGGACCTACATTCAAACATTTTTGTTTCGTTTTGTTTTAACCAAATTCTTCTATGTTACACTGCAGAGCAATACTAGATGATGGATCACTGGGAAAACCTGCAAGTTGTCGTTTAGGACCCCAAGAAGTGCCGAGATGAAGAATGATGAACTTAATCTGCTGGGTCTAGAAATTAAGGTAGAGGTTTTATGAGAAAGAAATCCCTCATGGGAATTTCTGCCTTGTCCAGTTCTTCATAAATTTAAAACGTATATTAAAAACCCCACAATAACCCTTTATTCGACAGAATAAAATGGTGACTTCTACAAAACCCACTTCGAAAATAACAGTTTAAAATATCCTGTGTGTCTGTCTATAACATAGCCCTAAGGATGCAAAGTGGTAGTAAACTGCCATGCTCATATAGAGAAATAAAGCTCAGAGATTGATTTGCCTTCAGGAACCAGAAGAAGGATATTTTTAAAAAGCCAGAAAACACAAACAACAAAACCCCGCAAAATCTGTGCTTCACCAGCATGGAAAAAGGGAAACAGTAAGTTCCTCTTTCTCCCGAAACATGCTAAATTCAGATTCTGAAGTATGCCTAGGGGGAATAACATCTAATATCCTCAAGTACCTCAGAGATTGATTTGCCTTCAGGAACCAGAAGAAGGATATTTTTAAAAAGCCAGAAAACACAAACAACAAAACCCCGCAAAATCTGTGCTTCACCAGCATGGAAAAAGGGAAACAGTAAGTTCCTCTTTCTCCCGAAACATGCTAAATTCAGATTCTGAAGTATGCCTAGGGGGAATAACATCTAATATCCTCAAGTACTAAATTTGGTGAAAGAGTCTCTACATGAGTTAGCATAAAAAGATAAAAACCCTAAAATTAGGTGTCCCGTTTCTCATGTCAGACCTCACAACATTCATGTCCCAACCACCTGCTTAGACAGACTTTGTTTCAGCACGCTGCCCACCGTCCAGACTGCGGAGAAAGAGGCTGTTACTGAACTAGAGCTACAGCTCGGTTGGACTTCTCTGTTAGTTCATCTGGTGAGATGAAAGCTGGGTTAAAAAAAACACATTTCCGTTTCAGCATCTATATTTTCGCGTTTTTGCTTCCTGAGATTCCACTGTGAAAAGCTCTTACAGCCATTTTCAGTGGCTTGTCAGTGTCACAAGTGTGTCACATTTAAGTGAGAATTCAGTCGTAACGAGCAAACTCCGTATTAATTTCAACAGTATGTCTAGATGCAAACCGAAGCGTATCACTGGCAGGGAGTCACTTTTGCAAAGGGAGGCAAACACACTGATAAGCTGGGAAAAAGGCACGCTTACCTGCTTAATATAAAAAAAAATCCAGTTACTGAAATCAAAAACAAGATTTCTGGATGGTTTCCCAGGCGAACAGTTTGAAAACCACATCGCAGAGATGTGTTACACCCTAGAAAGACAGACTGCATTCCTCACCTCGTCAATGAAGTAGTGTCAGCCTGCAAACGCGTGACCTAGTTCATTCAGCTTTCAACCAATGTGCCTGGTTCTATCAAACAGATAGGGAACACATCTTTTTTAAAACTAAAAACACACGACATTTTAGCTCCGCTGAAAACCAACGTTAGGCATTCATTTCTGCACACAGCGTGAATCAAGTCGCTATAAACATACTTCAAAAACGCCATAAAAACACGCGTGTGGGGCTCCAGGGGAGGGACTCCAGCAGCCCCGTGTCCCACCGCACCAGCAAACAGTGGAGGGGTTATCTTCACGTATTTTTCACGTTTCAGCAGCTATGCACTTACCACGTTGTCTCCTTCCTCAGCTCAGCGAGCTTGTGCAGACGTTGAAGGGCTTTCTCCTGTTTCCTTTCATCTTTCCGTGACTTAGATGCTACGTTACGAGCGAACTCCCTCTGCTTCAGTTCCTTCAGTCTCTGCAAGGAATGCACACAAAAAACCCAGGGACGATAAAAGTTTACAGTGACAGCTACTTTCTGGTAAACGCTCGTGGCACGAATTATTTCTGACTCTAACCAAAGCGACCCAGTGAATAAATGTAAAAATTTCAAGTGAATAACCAAAATACACCAAGATGAGAGAGACAGGTCAGCGTGGTTAGAGATAACCTAGAAAATCTTATGTTACTTTGTGATTAAGGCAAAATAGTCTCAGCAGGATCAGGCAACCTCCATCCAGAATTTTGCTCATGACTCACTTCCCAAAAACCTTCCCCCCTCTTTGAGATAGTAGTAAAAAATAATGAGACCAACACAAGTATTTTTCCATAAAGCTGCTGCGTAGCCTGTTGACTCCCCTAGATGTTATTAAATATTGGGTTTTTCTGCCCAAGCTGCGGGGCATAGCATTGGTCACCACAGAACCACGGGAGGTCCCCGTCAGCCCCTTTTTTCCAGCCTACCAAGGCCCCTCTGCCCCTGCCCTTCCACGTTATCAGCGTGGTATCATCTGCAAGGTTCCTGGGAGTGCCCTGTCCTGACATCCAGGTCATTACTAAAGATGTTAAAGGGTCCTGCCCCAGCAGCCATCCCCAGGCGATGTCACGGTCCGAAGTCTTGTATTTTGAAATGGGAAGATCTTCCCTCTGAGGATTCCCTTTCCTGCTCTTGCTGGTGTCTGATGCAGGAGTTGAGCAGATACCGAGGTTGAATTATCTCATTCCATGTCATCTCCAGCCTGGTTTTTTGGAGGGAAATGTAAATACACAGCTCTGGTTCTCCAGACAAAAAGGGGATTTCATTTTCTTTATATCACAGGATGATATGCAGAGATTTTTCCAAATCATTCACATCAGTAAATAAGTCCCCATCGGGGTATCGCTTGGTTGCTCAATGTGTCCCCAGTATGGCTCCCAATCTAATGACATCATTTTATGAGATCATAATCTTAGGAAGAATCCAGTAACCTGCCACAGTTTTAGTGTCCTAGGGCTTATGGCCATGAACCGGGGCCATGTGGACTTGTAAATGCGATCACTCTAATTTCAAATTGTTCGAGGGGTGTTGAGAGCTGGGGTTTTTCCGTATCAGTATGGCCATGAACCGGGGCCATGTGGATTTGTAAACATGATAATTCTAATTTCAAATTGTTCGAGGGGTATTGAGAGCCGGGGTTTTTCCATATCACCGGTAGGCACATGTTGGATACACATGTAATGGAGTTTGCAGAACTCAGTAAGCTGCTCTACTCCTTCTCATTTTTTCATTATGCCCCTTTTGTGATCTTTTTTTCCTATTCACACAAAAATATCCCACACCTAACATCATTCACTTATGTACTGAGTGTGTCTCTGCCATTTTGGGCGATGCTAACACTACCCCGGCGGTCCATTTAACGCCAAGAACCACGTACGCAGAAACATGCCGAGAAAGCAAACACACCCCTGGCAGAAAAATGAGCACTGCTGTCTTTTCAGTTTTTTGGATTATTTTTCTAATAACTGGATATCCCTTTGGAGACATCTTTGATAGAGACAGAAATAATATGAAAGGTAAACACTACTTCTATCCTTTTTATTTCATAGATAGAGTTATCAGGGATTTTTTTATTGTGCTAATACAGTATAAGGTTATATATTCACTCAAAACTGGATTTATGGCAACCTTTTTCCAAGAAAAAAAGGCTTGAAATGTGAAGTATCTTTATAGAACATTTCTTACCCCTGTGCATTCACGCTTTCCTAAAGATTTTATGATACTGACCCTGGTTCCCACCACCCACTCATGAAACCTGAAGTATTTCATTTCATAGGTGACTTCTGAGTACTCAGAACACCAGAGAAGTGTTTGCTCCTTCCCCGCCCCATCCTCCAGTCCCTGGCATTTAAAGACAGGATGTCATTCCATTTTGTAGAGCTCAATAATTCTTCAGGGTTTTTTTCCCCCTCCAATGCGTAAGGAAAGAAGTATGAGACAAAGCAAGAGAAGAGAGATAAAAGGGTGCATTTTCACAAGGTTAAAAAGGGGAAGCTGAGGTGTGTACGAACCCGTAACAACCCTCCAGCAGCAGCACTTAACTGGGATGATTATAATTAGTGATTTGATTCTAACAGATTTTGACCCCTTTTCTTTTACTGCTGAAAGTTAGCAGGACTCCATTTTTTTTGCCAACATTAACAGGGCTCCACGTTTCAGGGGGTCATGCTCACCGTGAACAGGGACAATGCTGTTGATCTATGTGATCTTGGAGGCACTGGAGATGTGTTTCACGCCTGCCATTGCCAAGCAAACATCATTCTATTGATCTAAGCCTTTCGTCGGCCCGAGAAGTCGTTATCTGTGTGGCACATACCAGTTCTCGTACAGAAGAACCGTTCATAAATTTTAAGTAATTAAATTGCTCTCCCTATGCAAGGCAAGGGAAGTCTGCCGGAAGTCTGGGATGCACAGCCGTTGCGTTGGCCTGTCTGCTCTTCTCTTCTGGTGAACTACTCGTGCCAGAGCTCCCCTTCTGCCAGACCTCCTGTCCAATACATCGCCCCTTTCCTGTATGGAAAACTGTTCTTCATATGAACTAGTTATACAGCCTGATTCTTGGGGGTTTTTTTTCTTACAACTGGAGTCTCAGTCTTTTTCAGGAGAGCTTTAATGATCTCTAAGGGTAACTAGTTAACTAGGTAACTAGTTAACCTAGGTAACTCCCAAGGACTTTATTCAGTAAATACACGTGTGTGAGTGGAACTTTTCTCAGTTGTAAACCACAAATGACCCATCTGCTGCGAGCTAGTTTGAGGCTTGACCAGTCAGTTTCCAAAAATACTACCTCCTTTACATCAAAAATTCATCTACAGCCCTGTATTTGTATTTTGCTTGTTTTGCTTGCATTATGCAAATGAGATATTACACAATTATACACAAAATGCCCTTAGTCCATGCATTCTGAGTATCACGAGGCCCCACAAAACTTGTTGAAAGTTAATGGGAGAGACGAATACAAAAGTGTGCCCTTATTCCTAAAAAGCATCCTTTTCTGAGCATTTTTCCATCTTTCCACGTGGCAGAGCCATTCACCAACGCTAACTTCAACGGTCAGTTTGATGGCCGTTATATTTGTTTCTTCCATGGATCAGTAAGCAAATAATTAGCAGGCAGTCATACAGTATTTAAATACGGTTCCCTCCTGTATGCTGCGCTGCTTAGGAACCAGCTCAAAGCATCGAAGTCCTGGCAAGCGGAGTTCAACAAACAGTTCACAATGAATAATTAAATGACATTGCTCCACGAGAGCTAAATGCCTTCATCATTCTCCATAGACACTGCGCTCCCACTTCGAATGTGCGGAGCATTGTCATTTAGCAAATGATTTCCCCCAGCCTGGAGCCATGGGAGACCTGAACCCAATTCTCCAGCCCTGCAACGGGATCCAGCAACTGGGCTGATTTCACTCGGTCAGACGCTGGATTATTTTATCAAATCTAACTGTAACACCAGGCCTGAAACAGAAATATTCCACCTATTTCTAACAAACTCAGACGGAAATCTTACTGCCCACCCATTGCAGCATGCTGAGCTGAGCTTTGCCGGTCCAGATGGAAAGGAAGACTTCACCAGCTCCTGTGTACCTACGCAGGGATGAAACCATGCATGAGAAGACCACATGTGGTCCAAGCTCAGGTGTGGCTGCACTTCACTCCGAGGCAGCAGCTCAGGTGTCCCCAGGCTTGCCATGGAAGATACCCATCAAAAATATCAATGAAATCCTAAGTGGACTTCCAACAGGACCCCATTTCTGGTTACTTCACCTGTGTCTCTATTTCCTCATTTACCATATAAGACAGTTAATTTCAGCATGCAACTTTTCAAAACACTCATGCTGACTTCCCTAATTTTATAGGAACAGAATTTTATAGCATTTTCTAATACAGAAACCACAAACCCAGATCCTGCTCTAGGAGTCGGGTGCCTGTAGCCCTCCGTGGATCAAAGTCTCTCAAAAGCAAAGATGCCTCATGGCATTAAGTGCACTTCTTACAACACTATCACAAGCCTTCTGCCACCTTGCAAAGTGATTAGTGTTTGGTTTAAACAAACAAACAAACAAAAATAAGATTTAAGATCTTGTAACAACAGAACTTCAAACTAACAGGTCTTAAAAACATAGGACAGCCATTAATAAATACGTCCAGGGCAACTAAAGCACGTAAAGGCTGAGTAGTGAAACACAATGTACCTGAATACTATGATGCCAGGTGATAAAATGAGGGACATCCCTTTCCCCGAAACCCGCAGCCTCAAGTAACTTCATACTCTGAAACCTATGATTTAATATTATCAGAAATGACTGTGAAGAAAAGCATTGAAGCTTTTAACTAAGTTTATGAAATCAAAAGGGAAACCATTGCAAGCATCAGGACCGATACATGCTCTCTCTGTAGCATTAATATCCCCCACCAAAAAAGCCATCCCCCGCAGCACAAAGGCATCATGTAACAACAGCTTATTCAGAGAGGCTCCCATAAACTACCCATGCAAAGCTTACCTCCCTAGTCTAGGAACAACTTTATAGGGTCAAGAACCAATGGGAACAGTTTTTGTAATAGCAGGAGTCAGAACGATGCCTATCAGGAGATTTCAGGGCAGTGCAGTTCAGATATTATCATGCTAATTTGCTTTTGACCTTAGATTAACAATTAAATTATGCGGACTCTTACAGTGCTGAAAGCACGTCGACCATAAATTCATTTTCTGATCAATGGAAGTATAAAATTACAGAATTTAACAGCCATGACATCAAATTTTGCTTCTTCATTGTCTCTTAATTTTATCAGGAAGAATGACCGTATTCCCAGCAGCCATGAATTTACGCTATTGTTAGCTTTTACAAGTAACTCATCCAACGAAAAAACTTGTTTTCTTGCTCTCTAACTGTTAAATACTCTAAGCTGCAGCCCAAAAAGCATAAACAGGTTGCTGCAGCC